GTCCAAGTATTCAAAGCCAAAGCAGATAGCACATGGAACCGAGTAACCATCCCATTGAGAATGATACAGAAGAATCGTGAGTCAATGTCCATGCCCAACAGGGCAACACCAACAGCATAACCCAAATGTAGTAACCATCCCATTGAGAATGATACAGAAGAATCGTGAGTCAATGTCCATGCCCAACAGGGCAACACCAACAGCATAACCCAAATGTAGCTCTCTCTTGTGAATGGCGCCAGGCGCCCTATCTACCCTACAGCCTATCCTACAACTACAGCAATGAGCAGCAACCAGACAACTTGACTACCAGCGAGTAATGATGTCAACACCAATGCCGTATTCACCATCACCAGGTACGTGTCATCTTCCCCACACTCTCCCTTGTTACCCACACAGCGCCCTTCACCTCCGAAGTACCACCTTCGCCCTCACCTCCCCTGCACCCTCTTGCGGCCCGGCTATGGCCGCCAGTGCCCTGCATGCAGACAGCGCCCTACCGCCTAGCGCTGGCCTACTCTGTCTTAGCGCTGCGCTGCTCTGCATAGCGCTGCACACTTGCATCCGCCGCAGCGTGCCCGCATATGCCAGCATTGGCCAAGATTCCCGCTGCCTCGCCCTGCTTGCCTATATGCCAGTGCAGYGTGTGGGCGGCCTCCCTTCAGCCTGTGACCGGGRCCCAGAGGCTGAAGCCCACTCGATACAGTTGGRCCCCGGGGTAAGGCAGTTGCGCCTCCTTCATCAAGGCCTGCGGCCAGATTCAGACAGTGGGCCGATTTCCCTTTGGCATTTCCGGCCTCTCTTCCCAGCATGCATTGTCGGCCTCACGTTCAGATGCCCAGGGCCTAACCAACTCAGAGGCCCTGGGCTYTCAKCATTTGCTGAAATCTGAGACTCGGTGCRCTCCAACCAACTGGCGTGCTGCAACTGTATGAACCCCACTTCGTGAAATGTTGCACAGAGGGCTCTTGTCGATTTGCTGGCCCGCCTTCACTTAGGGCGGGCACTAGGCTTGCTGGGGCCTTAGCCCAGAACATGTACATCATGGCAAGGCCCCTACTTGAGGGCTCAATCCTCACATATCTATGTTCTACAGAGATCACCTTACTGCAGAAGCTTGTACACCAGAACCTGCATGCCAGTACGCACACCGCACTTGTTACGAGCACTGCAGTCCAGACTATGTTCCAACAAATGGGTCACCCAGCTTTCAAAAAAAATTTTGTTCACCGTATAATTTTCATGCCAATTTCCAAACAATTCTCTAGACTATTGTCTAAGGTACCAAAAACACCATAACTAGTTGGACCCGGGCGGGGGGGAAACACAGATTATCAGAAGTACCATGATGCATAGCACAAACTAGAAAAAAGTCAGGCAACGTCTGATGAACTTGTAACAACAAATGACACCAACCACGGAATGCCTACAGCAACGGTGTCGTTTGATGTTTCCATTTTCACGTGGCGTCACCTTTTCTTTTCGCGGTGTCGTTTTAGCTTCTTTTGTCGTTTCTTAGCGAGTAGGAAGAGGAACTAGCCGCATATACAGGAACGACAAAATCATATGGCCGTTCATCTTCCCATGCTCCAGGGGGAAGATTCATTCCGTTTCGCACGGGAGGACGAGCGCCATACAGGATGGGGTGAAGGAGAAGGACGCGTCGCGTTCTTTTCCCCCCATGCATGCCTGTATCCGCCCATGTTCTGGCAGAAGATTTATTCTCATTTTGAATATTTGTGAGCAGTGGCGGCTCTGTGTGTGTGTGTGTGTGTGTGTGTGTGTGTGTGTGTGTGTGTGTGTGTGCGACATCTCCCCCCCCCACCCTCTCTCTCTCTCTCCCGTCTTCTTTCCCCATCTGTCAATCCGGCATCGACAT